CTAAATTATCCTGAAGTTGTACCATATCTCAAGTAAGTATTGATTTAGTAGTTATCAAAATCTAAAAATTACTGTGATTACATCTCAATGCAACTACTAAAAATATTTGATGTGTCACAGTCACTTTGTGGGTCAATTTGGCCATGATGCTGTATATACGAGATTTGATACGTGGTTCAAACAATTTATAAGTTCATCCTGATAATGTTCTAACACTATGTACGTAAATAATGTTTGTAAGTTATGCTAACTTATGAATTGTTTTAAACACTATGTAGGTAAATAATCCAAATAATGGTGTAAACCAATTTTTGAAAGATTTATCTTGGGGACCTGGGCTTGAGGTCACAACAATGTCTAAGTACGTAGTGAATGGTTATAAGTTCCATACAGAGGATTGCTCTAAAAATAAAAATAGCAACAACAGCGGGGTGTGGGTTCAAGGTGGTGATGGCAACCAAGTTGGAGATATTGATTATTATGGTGTGCTCAAAGAAATAATAGAACTAGAATATACAGGTTGGCCATTTAAGAAATTGATACTCTTTATATGCAAGTGGTTTGACCCAAATCCAACAAGAGGTACAAGAGTACACAATCAATACAACATAATTGAGGTTAATCATACGAGGGAGTATGATCGCTATGATCCTTTCATAATTGCACATAATGTTAGGCAAGTGTATTATGCTCCTTATTCATTGCGGCGGAATAAGTCCGATTGGTGGGTTGTAATAAAAACTAAGCCTGTAGGTAGGGTGAAAGTCGAGAATGTGTTAGATGTTGCATATCAAAATGATATCTCCAGTGTTCATCAAATAGTGGACGATCAACTAGAAAATGATTTGGAACATCCTGAACACATATTGGAAGAAGTTCATATAAATGAGTAACAATTATAGAAAATGAGGACGAAGAATCAACTGATGAAGCTCAAACAAGTGAGGACGAAGAATTCTCGGACGAGGAACAATACGTCGATGAGCTTTAAAAAGTTGGTTTTTTAAATAACTCTTGTTTTATAGCTAGTTTCTTATATGTTTGAATCTAAATATGTATTATAATATGCAGATGGCAGGCAAGGGTCAAGGTAACAATGACCCTACTGGTTCTCGGGGTCGAGAAAAGGCTAGGAAGGAAAAGAGGAGGGTAGTTAATAATACTCCCTCTTTTCCACCCTCTACAGAGATGCCTATGTCTTATCCTCCACCACACGGCTATACTAAGCTGCCACAGCATCACGATCCCTACACCTTCATGCAGACACCAAGTCTTTCATCACAGGGCCATAGGACTATACATCCAACATACAGTCCAACTGCCTCACGACCACGTGGATCGCAGCCATCTACATCGCATGGATCACATCCATCCATGTCATAGCCACATGGATCACAGCCACTCGGGTCACAGCCATCAGTATCACAGCCACTTGAGGTCCATCCAGCTATGTCGCAGTCACAGGGATCGCAGCCATCTTCATCAGCGACTCCATCTATTTCAGGCCTTCGCCTGCGAGGTAGTAGCTCTGGCCCCCTACACCGTCCACACATGCCTCTGATATACATGATTCGGATGATGATGCTGATGACGAGGAGGTGCATTATGATCAATATGGCAGGATCATCATAGTCCCTGAGGGTGATGGGTAAGAGTTATTTGTTATTTTTGCGTTTATTGTTTTATAAAAATTTTACTAAGATATTAATGTGTTTTTATTGTTAAATTGCAGGTTCATCACGAGTAATAAGACTACGAGGATAATCACCAAAGCCATCAAAAAGCTTTATGATGGCTCTTATGCGACTTGGACTGATTTTTCATCTCGCTGAAGGAACAAATTTTCATTCAATTTAAGGTATAAATATTTTTTTAAGCAGTTTAATAATTTATATTTATGATATTTCTTGTTTAATATTTAACTTTTAAAATACAAAGCAAGTGTGTATGGGAACACCGCTATACCGCGGAAGTGGCTGCAAATTTTCATCACAAAGCTCGCAAGCGATTGTCGCATACTTTCTCCGAAGCTAGAAAGAAGAACAAGAAGCCTGACTGGTTACTTCAAAATTTATGGGATGATTTGCAAAGGCAATGGCGTACTGCAAAGTTCTTAGAGAAAAGCGAAAAAGGAAAGAAAGCTCGCGCATCTGAGAAAGGAGGCTCCTTGCACACTGGAGGTGCGATCAGCCTAGGGACAATAAAAAGAAGATTGGTACGCAATTGCTTAAATTATTTTAATTTTTAAAGTATATTTATTCTGTTTATTAACTAAATTAATTTGTTTTCAGGAAAAGAAGTTGGGGCGTCCAATGAACCATGATGAGCTATTCAAGGAGACGCATATTGTAAAGAAGAAGAAAGAAACGGATCAAGAAAGGTGGGTCGAGGACCGGGCCTCGACTGTATATGTAAGCTTTCACTTTTCTTTAAGTATTTTAAATTACTTTTATATAAATTTTGAAATACTAATTCAATTTAAATTTCGTATAGGGTCACTACCAAACTAACGTGGAGGAATTCATCTGCACTCAGCCAGCTGGTGAATCGGGCGAGCCAACCCAACCTTCGGACGAGGATGCTGAAAGAATATGGATAGAGTCTGCTGGCGGTCCAAAATGGGGGAAGGTATACGGGCTTCCTACTAAAAAGTTCCATCGCTATAAGTGTGGAATGCAAGGAATAGGGACTTCCGCGCAAGGCGAGCAACTTAATGGGGAGAGCCTCTCCGCTATGCGGGAGACTGTGACAAAGCTCACATCCGAGCTAGAAGCGGCCAAGGAAAGAGAAAGGGTTAGAGATGCTCAATTCCTTGGCACGCAAGCTCAGATCAGAACTCTCCTATCTACTGGAGCTTTTCCGTTGCCCCGGTCTCGTGAGTCATCGCCAGAGGCTCGACTTGAACGTGAGCGTTCCTTCCGTCCTCCCCGTGATCGTTCCTCCCGTCCTCCCCGTGGTCGTTCTTTACGTCCTCCACAAGACCCTTCTCGACACCGTCTTTTAGATGAAAATTCATCAGACTGTGATGATGATGTTGTACAAAACACCCCTTGACTTGTATATACTTTGAACTAGACAAATAAAACCGGTTCTGAACTAGTTGTAATAAGTTTTAACTTGGTTTTGGATTTTTTAGTTCTATTGAACTTTTGTTTGTTAGTTTTAATGTATTTATTGAATTGTGTTGTTGTTGTTGTCATTCAGGGATTTGGTATGCTGGCAGGTGGTGTAGCTGCCAAAACAGACATTTTATGTCAAAATTAAAATCCAGAAAACCGACCAAAGTTGGTCGGTTTATAATTAAAAAAATAATTTTCTACTGATTAGCGACTAAGGTTGGTCACTTAATTTAAAAAAAAAAATTACCGACCACAGTTGGTCGGTTAATGGTCAAGGATTACCCAGATTTCAACTTTACAGACCAACTTTGGTCGGTATGATTAAATTTTAATTTCAAAAAAATATATATATATTTTATTTTACCAACCAACTTTGGTCGCTAATTTTTAGATTTTAATAATTAATGAAATAGCGTAATTTAAATACACCGACCAACTTTGGTCGGTAAAATTAAATTATTAAAATATGTTACCAACCAAAGTTGGTCGGTATGTGCTTTAAATTGTACAGCCGGTCCTTTTACCTTTGCGACCAACCTTGGTCGGTAATTAGCGACCAACTTTGTCGGTATACTAAAGCGACCACCAAAATAGCGACCAAGCCTGTTTGGACGAGTTTTGGTCAGTAATTTGCCTAAACCGACCAACGTTGGTCGATTTTTGTGGTCGCTAATTACCGGATTTCTAGTAGTGTAAGGAGGTTCAAAAAAGAAAAAGGTTAACAAATTAGAAAGATTGTGACTAGTGGGAATTGAACTAGTAACTTCACAAAGGTTTTGAACCCCCTTAACCGTTGGGTTGTGCTTTTGGGCTACGACAAGGGATTTCAAAATACAATATATAGAAGTAAAAACACAGATTTAGCCTTATATACAATGTAATTTTTCGGAGAAGGAGGTTCGGGTGAACCTCTTTTGCCTTGTATATACAGGGTAATTTTCCGGCGAACGGGGTTCGGATAAACCCCCTTCGGCCCCCTTAAATCCGCCCCTCGCTACGGGGATTTGTTTATGGGTACGTATAAATGTATGTCGTATGTATGAAACTATTTGGTATAATCCGCCCGAAGTACGCACACCATATCACACTCATTTGGCATGAGTACATCAAGACAAAATGAAGGATCCGCGTAACATAGGTTCAATATGTGTTTCATAAAGCAAAGATTGGAAATAAGTTTTCCTAAGGAATTGTCTTGTCACCTAGATTAATACATTACTAACATGAACTTAGAGAACTTCAGACAGGGACAACTCATCTACCAAACAATCAACTGCACTTCAATCCCAATTAGTTGAGATTGACAATATGAATTCTCAGAATCCATTCTGCTCCGTCCAAGTCAAATGGTCAATCAGATGTTGTATGTTTCTTCAAATTGTACATCACTTATCCAGAAGCAGGTACCTTTTGGCTGTAGCACTTGTACAAAAAACTGATACACCGCGCAAGATATGTATCCGCTGGACAAGTTTAACAGATGATGCACATACTGCCATGTTTTGCAGCCTAGCATCTTAACTTCTTCTTTGATGTGGCAATACATATAATGAGTTGTAATCTTTAGCAATAAGAAAGCAACCACATGTACGCCTCAATGTGAACCCTGAGATGAGCTTATAAATATAAAACAAGAGGACGCAGCATTTAGATAATGATCAACCTCACTGCTACATGCTATCGCTATATATCTCTAGAAACTTTTCTTACTAATATTCACAGAATATGGCTGGACTATCCCCAATTACAGCAGATATAGGCTGCAAACTAGTTCAAGAGATAGTGAAAGATGGTGATGAAATATCTGATAAGTACGTAAGCAAGGATTTTCAATATGGAGCCATAGATGATGATGTTCCGATAATGGACATACCTGTAGTTGATATGAAGGTTTTGACATCTTCATCAGCTTGTGGCAGAGAGGAACTTGGAAAACTTCAATCAGCCCTAAGCTCATGGGGTTGTTTTCAGGTTTGAATATCTAACTGAAGTCTTATTCAGCATAATGATACTTTTTGCATCCAAGATTTGTATATTGTTAAACTGCATCTTTAGAAGGGGAGCCTTGGCGTAACTGGTAAACTTGATGCCATGTGACCAGGAGGTCACAGGTTCAAGCGTGGAAACAGCCTCTTGTAGAAATCTAGGGTAAGGCTGCGTACAATATACCCTTGCGGTCCGCTCTTCCCCGGATCTCGCGCATAGCGGAAGCTTAGTGCACCGGACTGCCCTTAAACTGCATCTTTCGAGATCTGTTGAGTACTTTTAGCATATTCTAAGAGAAGTATAAAGTTTCAGGCAATAAACCATGGAATTGAAGAATCACTCTTAGATGAAGTGCACAAAGTTTCAAGGCAATTCTTTGACCTATCAATGGAAGAGAAGCAAAAATATGCAAGAGCAGCAGATGATATTGATGGATATGGAAATGACATGGTTCTATATGAAAATCAAACTCTCGATTGGAATGACCGAATATATCTCAAAGTCCATCCAGAAAATGACCGAAAGCTCAAGTATTGGCCCGAAAATCCCAAGTCATTTAGGTATTTCTGTCTCTACCTTTGGAAATAACAGCAACCTAATGTTTAACCTCCAGTGCATAATATTGGGCACTTGCCACTCTTTCTTCACGAGTTTAACTTCTATAGGCTGATAGTTTAAAAAGATTTATACATAATCAAGTCACCTAAAAATAACTATAGGTGAACTGTCCACAATAAGTGGAATTAGTAACCTAGAAAATGGAACATGTAACCTGTTACAACTGTGGTTAAAATATACTGATAGTGTAAAATTTTGAACTGTCAATGTATGTAAGCTAAACCCTCAATTTACAGGGAAATTTTAGAAGAATATACCAGCAGATCAAAACTGATAGCGGAAGAGCTCCTCAAGTACATGGCAAGGTGTTTGAACTTACCGGATGATCGATTTCTGAAACAATATGGAGACAGGCCAGTAATATATGCAAGATTTAACTTTTACCCTCCATGTCCGAGGCCAAAACTTGTTCGTGGCCTCAAATCCCATGCAGATGGAACGGCCATTACCATTCTCCTACAAGATAAAGAAGTTGAAGGCCTTCAAGTACTGAAAGACAATAAATGGTACCGAGTTCCCATCATGCCTTATGCTCTTCTTGTCATTGTTGGTGATCAAGTAGAGGTACTAAAATGATCCTATTTTTAAGTACAAGTGAATTCAACTCCAATTCTCTAATCTTGATCAATATCTACTACCTGCAGATAATGAGTAACGGACTTCTTAAGAGCCCCGTGCACAGAGCTGTGACAAACTCAGAGAAAGAAAGGATCACTGTGGCTATGTTCTGTAGCCCAGAATCCGGGATTGACATCGAGCCTGTTGAGGAGCTCATAGATGATAAAAGGCCACGATTATACAAGACAGCGAAGGATTATCTTGCAACTTACTTCCAATACTACCAGCAAGGAAAGAGACCAATTGATGTTGTGAAAATCTAAAGTATATAGCGCCTCGCTCTCATCTTTTCGCGCTTTACACAGTGCTAGTTGTATGCTGTAACTCATGAATCCTATGCAATAACGTGAACAATACTTTTGTTATATGAGAATAATCTGAGCAATACTTGTGAAGACCAGATGTTTATCTTCCAATGTTGAACGTTTGTTGTTATATGTACCGTTATTGCCATCTTGTCAGTGTTTGACAAGAATCTACATTAAGGTAAGAACTAAAGAGAAATAAGATTTACAAACAACCAGCTAATTATAAAAAACAAGCCTTGACAAAAAGATCTTAAAATCAAACCACTTCAGTTCATTCCTGTGGTTTTTTCGTGGAAAATACAGAAAAAGTCAAAAACAAATAAACAACCAATTCAGGATAGGAACATTATTCAAGCCAATTCAGGAACTCGTGGACAGCTGTAAGGGTATAAAGCTGTTTGATGTTCAACAGTTATAGCCTTTTCGCATCACAAGTTGATCTTAGCCTACTGACAACACAAATCATGCTAGAAAAGAAGAGCTTAATGAACTTCAATGGTCATGTATGGCGTTGAAACCCCCTTCCTCACACTCCTTCCCCCCCCCCCCACCCCCCACCACACACACACCCCCAAAAAACAACCTTTATCCCGTTTCTGAGCTTGAAATTGGACTTTTTCTCAAAAGTTATCCAAGCAAATAAGTAATGAGAAAATTCACAAAATGCAATATATGCAAACTAGAAGTTTTTTTTCCGTTTTGGGTGGAGGGACACAGGTAAATGGAAAAAGTTGTAAGCAATAATAACAACAACAAACCCAATGTAATCCCATAAGTGGGGTCTGGGGTGGGTAATCTGTACGCAGACCTTACCCCTACCTTGTTAAGGTAGAGAGGTTGTTTCTGATAGACCCTCGGCTCAAGAAACAGTTAAAAGGAAGCAACAAAAAATAGCTCCAACAAGAAATAACAAAGACACGATGAAGGAAAAAGTTGTAAATACAATAGGGTAAAAACTAGGGAAACACATTAAACACTAGTAAAGGTAAGGATTTTAAAAAGAAAAACAAAAAGGTAAAATATAAATAAAATAAATGGTACTTATTTACTCTGTTGGTAAGATAGGAGCTATCTGCCGTCCTCTCTGTGTATTTGTCGGCAAAGAGTAACATATGGGAGAATTACTTGAGAGTTCAGAGAATAATTCGTGGAATGGCAGACTCATATCTTGACAAAGTGCATCAAATTAGCAATCAATTCTTTCCTCTTCCAACTGCAAAAAAGAAATATGCCGGACTATGACTTTGAAATGTATGGAAATGATTCAAGTCTCCCAGAAAAACAAATGCTTGATCGGACCGATCAGATTGTATCTTAATGTAACCCTGAAGATAAAAGAAAGTAGACCTTCTGGCCCCTAAATCCAAATGTTTTAGGTATATGTACTTTTACCCAGAAACTAAAGCTACAAGCCTACTCTTAAAACAAATCCCCATCTAACACATTACCTGGCAGGAAAATGTTAGGAAAACACATCAAAAAGTAGAAGTCTTTGACTGAGATTATCCTCAAGCCCACGGAAACTGAACTTGGAGGAGAACTGCTTTCTGGACCAGTGTGGAGAAATATTGCAGGATGTCCAAGGCCCAAAGTCATACTTGCGGTAAATCCACAAACTGATAGCTAAGTCTTTACTTCCTGTTGCAAGACAAAGAAGTTTGAGGTATACTAAACATGAACCAAAATGGCCTTCACTGCAGCCTAAATCTTGAAATCCTAGGAAGTCTCTGCTGCATGCAGATCAGGCGTAATGGCATTTTCAAGAGACAAGTGCGCAGGATGGCAACAAACTCGCAAAGAAAAGAAACGCTCTGGTCCTTTTTTCTTATGCCAGAAGTAGACAAGAAAATTCAAAACTATGTTGAACTATTCTCCAAACTTTATTTGATGGATTCTTCCACACTATTAGCAAGAAAGAAGACCAGATGAAGCAGCAATTGTATGCTCAAGATACGTCAGCTGTAATACTCTTTTCAAGTGTGTGGCGCGATGCTGCAGCTTAAGCAAGCATGAAACAAAGAGAGCTTTGCCTGAAGAATATGCACCATACATCAAATGGTTTTCCTTCACCTGGCTAGAGAATTATGTTAGGGACCAACGGATCAGCATAATTCCAAAATTGACCTTGATATTGTCAAATACTAAGAGAGGTATCTTGAGGTATAATGAAGATTCCATGAATGCCATTGTGATAATGGTGATAATTTTCCAAAGCAGTCGACATGACGTGTGAATTCATGGGCTCAACTCACACAATGATATGTGGCGCGATACTGCAGCTTAAGCAAGCATGAAACAAAGAGAGCTTTGCCTGAAGAATATGCACCATACATCAAATGGTTTTCCTTCACCTGGCTAGAGAATTATGTTAGGGACCAACGGATCAGCATAATTCCAAAATTGACCTTGATATTGTCAAATACTGAGAGAGGTATCTTGAGGTATAATGAAGATTCCATGAATGCCATTGTGATAATGGTGATAATTTTCCAAAGCAGTCGACATGACGTGTGAATTCATGGGCTCAACTCACACAATGATATGTACAGACAGCTGATGCAACATTGAAGAGGCAAAAGTGTATAGGCGACTCAGAAATGACTACAACAACAACAACAACAAACCCAGCTTAATCCCGTTCAGAAATGACTATCCAATTTAATTAAATCCAATCCTTCCTATTGCCTCGCCCAAAATAACCCCCCCCCCCCCTTTCCAAAGACAGGTTATTTGATTTGTCCCTTGCTCTTTTCTATATTGTTTAAGAGGAGAAAAAAAGAAACTGAACATACATTTTGGGGAAACAGTATACTGGTAAAGCTTCCAAATATGGAACATGTGCCAGTTCAAGTCATATGCAATGGATGCAACATTTTCTTACACCACTTACTGTTTATACAACTTGTATTTAACTCCATGTCACAAGCTACAGTAAAATCAAGGAGAGAATCATCAATTAAATTAAGAATATATGATGACTTGGCCCAAAAAATCTCATAGCTTACGTGTATACATAATAAACAAAGTAAAAGCCAAGATAGAGTCTCCATTAACTAATGACATCTAGTGGGACAAAACGACCATTTGCTGCTAGTAAGCTGCAAATCTCTACCCTGATGTTTTTGGAGTAGAAATAAAATGGCAAACGAAAGAATGCTCAAATCCAGTATCTTTTTCCTTCAATTCTAGTTTTTCTTCATTATTTTCAATCCTCTGTAGAAGAAAGATTAGGTCCATATACAAGGATATATAGAAAGTAGGCCTCAAAGGTTTGTCTAGTTATTTCCAAAGCCCGCCATGACAGGCCCTTTTCTCTCCAGAAGATGAGCGTAAGTTAACAAGGAATGGTAAGCACTCATCAAAGATTCATTAATGAAGGTTTCTAAAACTCAAGTTTCACAAAGTCGAACCCTTCAAACATCTCAGACATTGCAAAGCAGCTCTGCGAAATAATAATGGCACTTGCATTTTCCCAATAAAGTGTGTCAATTGAACGAATGATCTATTAAAAGCAATAACTTTCAAAAGCTAGCTATCTTTCTCCAATACACCAGTAGCCAAAAGAGATAAAGGAGCATGTATGGTCTTAATCATTCTCCATTTCCTAATAAAGCCATTACTTACCTGAAAATGATGTCAAAAAGATTATCAACCGGGGATGAAATTTTTGACAATATTGCACAACCATTAGCCAAGTTATGCAATTCACTCGGATATGAAGTTCTCAAATCTTGATTATGACATAAAGTATAAAATACAATTTTACAGGGTGGTGCTGGGGTCATGGGGGCACCTGAATAAATCCACCGAGCATATTGCTACAGCCAACAAGCACAAGTGTCGGGTAAAGCTACCCACCAAGGTTGAAACAAATGAGCACTCATTAAGGTTTGTAGCTGGATTAAAACTTGGGATCTCTAATTGTTACTCATGTCTCAACCGCTCGATTAGAGCATCAACTATAAAAGCACTTTTTCACTAGAGTAAATAGGACGCTTCGATGATTTTCTTCAGGCAAGTTGGGATTCAGATTTCGTATGAAATGAGATGAACAGAATGAAGTTCTCTTTAGCTGACAAAACAAAGATTGACATATCAACTAAGAAACTATAACAAGATGCATAAAGATAATTCTTAGTAGAGGGTCTATAGCTGTGAATGATGAAATAGATCTGAGTATAAGGTTGCCTCTGACAATTTGAAGAAGACAAAAAGTAATCTGGCAGCTTAAAAAGGAAATGAACTACTCTTTTTACGACAAAATGAAAAACAACTATTTCATCTTAAACCAACAAATGAAGCAACAGAACATCATGCAGCAACTACGAGAGCATGCTATCTCAATTGCTAGCAGCCAATACGAATCTTCTATTTTTTTAGTTTCCACATCAGTTTTTCAGTTGAGAAAGGGGAAACACCTGAATCGAGAGTAGATCAGCTTTAACACTCTGCTCTTATTAGGAAAGAAAGCATTTGTCAATATATCAGATGCTTGCTGCAAAAAGTCACCTTCAAACACATAAACAACTCAAGAAAGATGTCACATTGGAAATGCAGAGAATGATTAAAATTGTTTTAGTGTTAAGTGTTAGTGTTAGATTCTTCTCAAAAGAAAATGGTAGTGTTAGAATGTTAGAAGTGTCGTTCTTGAAACCTATAAATGCAAAATGCATATGTATCGTTCTTGAAACCTATAAACCACTGTATGCAAAAGTACTAAGACATCAATACATCTTTTTTCTGCTCTTTTCTCTCCCAAAGCTTAAATCAACTTACAAGCAAAGATAAGGATGCAAAATTGGAATTCTGCTTCCCCTTTCCACTTTATAAGTAAATTAGTCAATGAGCTTGAACATTCTAACAATCAATGGTTTATTGTGTTAACAAATTCCGCCAATATGTTCTCTTGCCTTCAGATGAATGTAGAATTACCAAATATTGCTTCACACTACCACTTCTACTTCCTCTTCTACTTAAAGTAGACCAATATTGCAAAAAAAAAAAAGGCATATGGAAACTCATAACACGTAGGAAAACAGCATGGTAATGAAGTATCATACATCAAGTACTTATGACTAACAGAAAAACTTCATGCTAAATATAAGAAATTCATGATTGCAGATTCGGTCTTAGAAATGTAAACCACTTCAGAAGAAATGAAGGCGAACACATAACTCGTCTTATAACATAAATACATGAGATGCAGAATACATCCAGTGACCAACAGATAAATAATGTTAACTGCTTTTTCCATCCTACACTACATTCTCAACATCTAATAATTGATCTCATCAAAAGTAACTCTCATACAACAGATGTTCCAAAAATATCAAAAGGACAGCTGACATTGCAGGACAAAATGTTTATGGTCCTTTTGATGGTCTTACAACTCAACACCTAACCCCGACTCCAAATGGAAAAGAAGGTTGAATTAGTGCTTTAACCTTCACTTAAAACAACACAATAAGCATGTCCTTGTGGCATAGTTACATTGCTAATATCGGATCATTACATGGGTTGTGCTAATAAACATATCTTCTTAATCCCAAAGCAAGAAGTCACCAAACAAAATTGCAGACATACCAAGTTCCAGAATTCCCTTCAATTGTTCTCGGATTTAACAGCCTCCGATGAAGGAGCTGGTAGTGCATACCCATTCTTGGGCAACTTGGTTAAGATACGCCTCTGTCCCGCTTCCTCCGCCTTCCCGAACAATTGCTTCCTCAAGACTTCATGCAAATGCCCAAATAACTCCTTCTTCAAAGCCTCAAAAGCCAAATCAAGCCTTTCCAACTGCTCCATCGCATTCTTATTGTACATAAACAACCCATAGTACAAGTCAAAGCTATCACTAGAAGTATTCTCAACCAAATTCAACAAAGTCTCGTACCCTTTCGTATTTATAGGAGTTGTCTCCAAATCCAACTTCTCCAATACTCTCCCCATCGTATGTGTAATAAACTGCGAACCGGCAGCATACCTATCATGCTCCGCACACGTCATCTGCACCATCCTACACCCTTCTTTCTCAAATATATCAAGAAACCTATCAACCCTTCCTTTTCTCGATTCCTCTTCACCAATTCTAACTTTATCAAACACAAAGGCCAAATCTTTCCAACTATCCTTACCACTTTCAGGTCCAAACATAGGATGAGTACACAAAATATCAAAATGGGAAGGCAAAACTTGAAGGAAAATGTTCTTTGGAAACTCTTTAACAGACAAAACATCAACAAACAATGTGTTTCTTTTTAGCCTTTGAATAGGTAGTGATCTAAGGACAGGTTCAGTAGATATAATTGAAGTACAAAGTAGAATAACATCAGGATGTTGCTCACAAAGGTCATGCGGATCTTGAAAAAATAAAACACCTAAAGAATTTGCAATGTGTGAGTAATCAGTTCTTGAATGAGCAAACACAACATGACCTTGACGAACAAAGGCTTTAGCAAGAAACTGACCGAAGTTGCCAAAACCCACTATAGCAATCTTGAGTCTTGTTGACTGAGCATATTTATTTGATACCAATGCTTCATAATCATAAGGCTGTGCTGCATCAATGGCATTAATGCTAAGGCGGCGGTAACTGACTTTGGAGGGTGAAGAAGCAAAGAAATGGCGGCGGGTAGTGGGGTGGTGGTGGGTGAAATGAGACCAAGACCAATGGGTGGCGTTTGAGGTGGGGGTGGGTGGTATTGGCTTGGATTGAAGAGGGGTGAAAGACAACATGGTATTTTGGTATTATACAATGTTGTCTGCACAAAAAGATTGAATCTTGATTTTCTTGAAATATGAAAGATTTAAATCTTAATTCTTGATATATTAAACAGATGAGGGGAAATTTGAGCAAGATTTAGGGAGAGAGAGAAGGGAAGTGGCGAATTGGGTGTATGGAGAAGGGAAAAGCTGAGGGCTTTATAATGGAGGAAAATGGGGGAAGGTGAGGAATAGACAACGGGACGACTTTTTCGACGAAGAAGAGAGACAGAGATTGAAAAGTTATATTTTTTTTTTCTGGACAGATTGAATGAATTATACCATATAGTAGTACTACTTATTATAATGTTTTTTGGTGTCAAAGAAAACAAAAAAAAAAAGAATTACAAGAAAATGCACGTGATTTCACACCATAACAAAAAATAGCCTATATTTTTAAATTTTATCAGGCCTAGCCAATATTTCACATATTTTGAAAGCACTAATAAATTCAAATTTTGTGTTCTTACAACCATTTGCTTTTAAAGCTTTGGAGTTAAATCTGTGTTCTCACAACCATTGCTTTCACTCTCTCTTTTTCTCATATCTTCTACATATGCTTTAGGGGTGTGTGTATTTTTTACTTCTCCCCCTGTGTCACCCAATTGCAATGTAAGAAAATTGACGAGTAGAAGTCCACCATTGAAGGTCATCCGAAGCTTTGCTTTCGAAAATAGGATTTTTTGAGGTTGTTAGTTGTTTGGATTTGGTGTTGTTCCAATTAATTGAAAATATTAAAAGGAGTTCAAATTTTAAATTTGAAGTGATTTGGAGTAGATTTAAGTTAAATTTCAGAAAAGACGCAAGCATAAAGTCGAAGTATGTTTTATATATAATTATGTATAATCTTGTATAATAGTGTATATGAGTGTACAAACACATCTTATACTATTATACACTTTTATATACCTTTTATACAAGCTTATGTAGACGAACTTCTTCCACGATTTTCAGTTGCAATTCTTGTTCAAAACCAGTCCAAATCTCCATTAAATGACTTCAAATTTTATATACAACCTCCCTATACTATTTCTAACAAGTCTAAATAACACCCACTCTAAATTTCTCACAAAATCAAATTCGGAATTTAAATTCACATATTTAAGCTTGTTAAAAATCTAATTTTCACCACCCAAATGGATTTGGTTTGTTGAACTAATATTTGAGTCACAATTACTGATTTAAAAATTAACTTAAAAGCTTGAGCAATTTTTTTTAAAAATTAAATAATCATTTCGAGAACCTATTGGAGTTGGATGTTGAATATTAGCATATTAGTTTTGGGCTAGTTGATTGTAAATTGAAATATGGGCTATAAAATTGGAAAGTATGGAGCCCGTTTATTCTTATGTGAAATTTCGTAAAAATGGCGTGTAGTAGCCACTAATTAAGGGTGTCTTTAATTTTTATCCACTAATTACAATGCTCAGCAAAAATAGCCACTACTAATAGGGAAAAGACACATTTACCCTTTCTTCAATGCGCTTATAATGCCAAAATGCCCAAAAACCCTTTTTTTCATTCAGTAGAGGGAAAAGAATTTGAGAGGGGTTTCAGGGCAAGTTGCGTATTCTCTGCTTCTTCATCATCCTCTCGCATGCAAAGGATCTTCAGTTAATCTTCCTGCTCCTTCATCTTCTTCGCCATCTTCTATGAATCGTTCGCGACTGGTAATGTGTGTTTTTATTTTTTTATGCATTTTTGTATTTCTAAATGTGTAATCGGGTTCAATGCCATGTGAAGTATGTTTGAAATTGCAAAAAATGATCATTATATGTTGATTCAGTGTCGGAGATGTAGTGTGATTGTGTTATTCAGAAATTTTTAGGGTTGAAATGTGAAATGTGTTTGTGGTTGATTCAATATATTTGATTATGTAGGTATATTTCATAAAAATAGTCGTAGAAATTCATAAGCTTACTGTGTTTATGAATTTTTAGTTAACTGTGTTCCTGAAATATAAGAAAGAAACGACATTAAATTTTGAAGTTGGAACTCAAAGTTAAGGACTGATTGTCCTTAACTTTTGCACATGAAACTTGAAGTTAAGGACCAAATGTCCTTAACTTTTGAACTACAAATTTGAAGTTTAGGACCTATTGTCCTTAACTTTTGAACTTTAAACTTTAAGTTAAGGACTGCTTGTCCTTAACTTTTGTATGTGACACTTGAAGTTAAGGACCAAGTCCCTGCAACTAACTGTAAGTCCTAATCTTTGTTTTCTATTTCCTTCTTTTGTAGTGTGATAATGGAAGGAGATCGTGTGTTCGAGTTTGATGATTGGCGTAATTTTATGGTGTATTGGAAAGGAGATTTACAATATAAGGAAACAATTAAAGGTTTTTTGTCGAATAGCCAGTGGAAGAAATTGAGGGATGGTATTTTTGGCAACTTCTTCCGATTACAAAGTGTAAAGTTCTCTGGTAAACTTATTCACTGTATATTGCTTTCAGAAATTGTAAATAATGAACCTGATTCAATGACATTCAAGGTATTTGATCGTGAAATTAAGTTTACCCATGACGCATTTCACATAATTACTGGTTTGAAATCTTATACGTTGCTCGACATCAAAGGTTTACATGAGAAAGAGAATAGGCTTTTAAGAGTCTATTTCCCTGGAAAGGATAGAATTGAGTTGGGTGATTTTTTTAGTTTTATTTCTAGTCACCCACATGGTACAGCTTCATCATTTGTTGGCAGCGATGATGATGCTTTGAAGTTGGCAACAATCTATTTTGTTGAATTTGTTTTGATGGGCAAGCGGAAGAATAGGAATGTGTCCGACCAGATAATGAAAATTGTCGACGATGACGCACTCTGCTCTTCCTTCAACTGGGGCTCTCTTTCTTATGAGACGCTATTAAAATCATTGAAGAGTTGTTTGAAGCCAAATGAGAATGAGATTGAGAAGGAGAAAGACAAAGATAAAGAGAAGGATAGCTACACTATAGTTGGCTTTCCTTTTGCCTTTTGTGTTTGGATTATGGAAGTACTTCCTATTTTCCAAGAAAAACAATTTGTGAACTTCAAAGAATCTGGTTATCCTCGGATGTTATGTTATTCTGAAATGAAGTCTCCACAGTTTGATGCTCTTTGTAGAAAATATTTTCATAATGAAAATGTAAGTTAATGTAATCACTATCTATTTTTTTGTTTATTTGTTTTAGTTGTGAATACTTATGTTTACTTTTTCTTATATAATAGTTGTTTAAGTTGATCGAGGTGTCACCATTCATTCCTGTTGAAGAAGAAGATACAGAGCCTCTTAGTGTGGAGGATCCAATTTCACAAGATCAAAGCTCAAGGTCTTCTTCCACACAATTTGACGAAGCCATACTTAAGGAAATTGTTAGAGTATGTGTTTCTGCCTTTGAATAGTATTAGTTTTTTATTTGATTATTTCTTACTTACGAACACTTTTTTTTTTATTTTATGTTTTTTTGATTCAGAGATTATCAGAGAGTTTTAAGAAGGATTTGCAAGCTGAAGTTACTAGAGTTTATCAGAAAATAGCTGTAGCAGAAAAAAAGATTGAGAATGAAATCATGGTATTTTCAGTTAGTCTAACTTTAGGACTTTGTGTCATTAAATTTTGAACTTGGAATTCAAAGTTAAGGACTGCCTGTCCTTAACTTTTGAACTTGGAAATGAAACTTAAGGACTTCTTGTCCTTATGTTTTGAACTTGGAATTCAAAGTTAAGGACTTCTTGTCCTTAATTTGTGAACTTGGAATTCAAAGTTAAGGACTGCCTGTCCTTAACTTTTGAACTTGGAAATGAAACTTAAGGACTTCTTGTCCTTATGTTTTGAACTTGGAATTCAAAGTTAAGGACTGCCTGTCCTTAACTTTTCAACCTGTAAATCAAACTTAAGGACTGCCTGTCCTTAAATTTTGAACCTGTCCTTAACTTTCTAACTTAGTTTCTTTCTCAGGATTTAAAGAAAACTCTAGGATCAAAGCTTGATACTTTGTTGAACATTTTTGGGAAAGCTGATCAAATGAACACAGATAGAGAATCTAGTGTTCCAATTAGAAAAGATGGAGTTGATGATCATTGTCGTGCTACAGAGCCTATTGTTACAATCAACGAAGATGCAGGCGGTGATGAACGTGATGATATGGATGTGGATGCAGAAGTGCAGTATGAAAGCGATTTTAGAGATGCACATCTAGATGATGAAACTGAGAACGTTACTGATATTGGGAAAGGTTAGATATAGATTTTGATTTTTTTTTGAAATTTATATTGAATAGAGAAATACATATAAACTTTTTGTGATTACAAATATTTGTAGAATCTACTGATGGAGTGGAAGTTGAAGATGTAGGTGAATTTCAAGACCGGGAAAATCCAAAAGAGAAAGGAGAAACAGAGAAAGGAGAAACAGAAAAAATTTGTAAATGTGGATTGCAATCTCAGGAGGATTTATCAAGTCCATTGGGAACAAGTGTCAGCGGGATTGTATGCAAATGCTTAGAAGGAACATATGATCTTTCTACACCTCTGTCATACAAAGAAAAATTTGGATTTCAAAGTTGTGCCAATCAAGGTTAGATAAAATTTTCATTATATATTGTATGTTAGTTTCAGTGAATTATTAGAATGGGTATTAATTGCAAATGTTACAGAATCTTTTGAAGCTGGAAGGGAAGAAGCTGGAGTGGAGTATCAAGAGAAAAGTGGAATACAATCTCAAGACGTACAAAATACTGAAGGAACAAGCAGAAGTGAGATTGGTTCCAAATGCATAAATGCAACATGTGATATCTCTAGACCTCCCTCTCTTAACGACGATATTGGAACCGAAGAAAATGCTAGTGAAGATAATGATATAATTGGGATGATCTTGACTATTGCAAATGGTTAGACAGTATTTTATTTTATTTTATATATGTTTGTTTTATCAAAGATTATTAACAAGTACTAATTGTGTTAGCTCTTGTAAATATTTTTGCAGAATCTTGTGAACAAGCAACTGAAGCACAGGGTGAACAATTGCAAGATGATGAAAATGTGCAATTGGAAGAAAAAGAAAATGATGCAAGTAATATCTTAGCTGAATTGTCTCTTGAAAAAATACAAGAAGGTAGTGTTATGTTATTCTGAATTTCAAGTGTCACGTAAAAAAGTTAAGGACAAGCAGTCCTTAACTTAAAGTTTGAAGTTCAAAAGTTAAGGACAATAGGTCTTGAACTTCAAAATTGTAGTTCAAAAGTTAAGGACATTTGGTCCTTAACTTCAAGTTTCATGTGCAAAAGTTAAGGAAGTGCAGTCCTTAACTTATAGTTTGAAGTTGAAAAGTTAAGGACACTTGGTCCTTAACTTCAAATTTTAAGTGCAAAAGTTAAGGACAAGCAGTCCTTAATGGTTAGACAGTATTTTATTTTATTTTATATATGTTTGTTTTATCAAAGATTATTAACAAGTACTAATTGTGTTAGCTCTTGTAAATATTTTTGCAGAATCTTGTGAACAAGCAACTGAAGCACAGGGTGAACAATTGCAAGATGATGAAAATGTGCAATTGGGAGAAAAAGAAAATGATGCAAGCAATATCTTAGCTGAATTGTCTCTTGAAAAAATACAAGAAGGTAGTGTGCAGAAGACAGGTACTGATTGTGTCCTAAATATTATATTCATATTGAAATTTTGTCTCTTCATTTGACGAGTTGCAGCAAACTAATATATATATATATAGAGTTGCTGGCGGAGGACAACAATGATGAAGCTGTTAGCAAAAATACGAGGAAAAGAAAGAGAGACAGTATTGGTTATGATGGTCCGTCATTTGCTATTCTTTCTCCTACTCCTCCAAGTACACAAATGAGCATTGATGGGGCTTTGACTATGGAGGTTGAAGGAAATATTGAAGAAGAGCTTGGTCGAGGTAAAAGGTACAAGAAGCTAAGTTGGCAGTTGAAATCTCCTTTTGATCAGGAAAGAAAAGCGGGAACTTCGAAGTCAGATGATCAAAATACTCCGAAGAGTTCAGGCTGGATAAAATCAACATATACTCGTAGGTGTATTTTTCATTATGCCGTAGAAGATGCAAAATTAATGAAGAAATTCATTGCGTGGTTGCGCAAGGAGAAAAGGAGAGGTCGCAAAAAAGAGTAAGTGCCTTCATGTATTTCACTAAGTCCTTAACTTCTGTGATTGTAAGACTAATTTTAGGAATAAGTCTCCTGAACATTTGAAGTTGTAAGTCAAAGTTGAGGACCATGTGTCCTAAATATTCGAACTTGTAATTCAAAGTAAAGGACTGCCTATCGTTAACATGTGAACCTTCAAGTCAAACTTAAGGACTGTCTGTCCTTAAGTTTTGAACTTGAAACTATAAGTTAAGGATCTCCTGTCCTTAACTTTTGAACTTGATACCCAAAGTTAAGGGCAGACAGTCCTTAAGTTTTGAACTTGAAAACTCAAACTTAGGACCAAGTGTCCTTAGCTTTTGAACTTCTAATTCAAACTTAAGGACTGTCTGTCCCTAAGTTTTGAACTTGGAATTCAAAGTTAAGGACAGACAGTCCTTAAGTTTTGAACTTGAAACTATAAGTTAAGGACTTCATGTCCTTAACTTTTGAACTTGATACTCAAAGTTAAGGACAGACAGTCCTTAAGTTTTCATCTTGAAACTCAAACTTTAGGAGCAAGTGTCCTTGGCTTTTGAACTTTTAATTGAAACTTAAGGACTGCCTGACCCTAACTTTTGAACTTGGAATCCAAAGTTAAGGACAGACAGTGCTTAAGTTCTGAACTTGAAACTATAAGTTAAGGACATCCTGTCCTTAACTTTTGAACTTGATGCCCAAAGTTAAGGACAGACAGTCCTTAAGTTTTGAACTTGAAACTTAAACTTTAGGACCAATTATCCTTAGTTTTTGAACTTCTAATTCAAACTTAAGGACTATCTGTCCTTAATTTTTCAACATGAAAGTCTATGTTCAAGACTAAATTCTAACTTTGATATTTTCAAAATTTTCAGGGGACAAATTGATGTATATGCTGATGATAATGGTGTGAGGAAAAATCCCTACAAATTGTATCATCAAAAAATCAGTAGCAAAATGTTCTTCCTTGAGTTTTCGGATAGCAGTTATGTACTTGATGATAAGGTGAAATAATTCACAAGGCTTTTATTTTTTTTATTCTTAATTTATCATTTTTTAATTATTTTATGACTGATGGATTTGTTTTATTTTTTGCCTTTTTATGAAGCATATTGACATTGCCCTATATTATCTAAGAAAGAAGGAATGCTACCACCCTCGCGATCATCCTTTTCGTTGCACAACTACTGATATTCTTTTTGATAACTACATGGTGCTTGTGTATAAAGATTTCAGTGATGATGCTACTGATGACTTTTGGTGTGCTGGTGATAATCAGTTGTTTCTGACACCATATGTGTGGGGGGACAGCCGTAGATGTGGAATTGCTTGGACAGAAGTTGACAAAATCTTTTTTCCATGTCGGCTTCCTTCTGAAGAAGATAATGCTGTCACACACTTTCTTTTGGGGGTGTTGGACTTGAATCAGAAAAAGATTGATGTATACGATTCCATATACAGTGAGCCATATGAGGCAGGACTTAATCACATGGAAATGTATGCACGGATGATCCCCCACTTGCTAAAGTTCTCACAGTTTGACAAACATCACAAGTCTTTCGGAAATGTCTTCAACAAATTTGATATTCAATGGCAAAGATCACCACGCCAAATTGGATCGTACGTGTTGTTATTTTTTTTTATTATTTATATGTACTTTAGATTTATTGTTTAATTCACTGCATATCTTACATTTCTCTTAGGACTGATTGTGGTGCCTTTCTGATCAAATATGTTGAGCTACTGATGATTGCAAAGGATGTGGAGCAATTCAAACCCGAAGACATAAAAGACTTCAGAAGAGAACTTGCTGCAAATCTTTGGGCGCATGGTGAATGGAAAAGAAATTCTGGGTACGACACTCCACCAGAAAATGTTGGGGATGATTATGAGAGTGAAAATGAAACCTGCTGTCCAAAGGAGTTGTAGTTTAGTTTTTATGAAAGTTGTGGATGATCTTTTGTATAAAATTGGTGTAAAGGATACATGTGAATTTTGCAAGTTTAGAAAACTTCTGAAATATTCTGTAAATTCCTAACAAGGGTACTTATATTTTGTTGGCATAGCGTAATTTTTTGTCACAGCTATGCCAAATTACAATTTCAGAAGTTATATCAAGGTATCATGTTATTAATTGCTTTGATTCTCTGAAGTGTTGATTTGTCCATTGAGTTTGTTAGTATTAGTTTATGACCAAGTGTAAATGAACTTTGAATTCAAAGTTAAGGATCAAATGTCCTTAACTTTTGAACCTATATTTCAAACTTAAGGACTCCTGTGCTTAACCTTTGAACTTTGAACTCAAAGTTAAGGACTGCCTGTCCTTAACCTTTGAACTTTGAACTCAAAGTTAAGGACTGCTTGCCCTTAACTTTGGAATGTATAATACAAACTTAAGGACTGCCTGTTCATAACTTTTTAGCCATCAAGTCAAACTTAAGGACCGTTGTCCTTAAGTTTTGAACTTAAAACTCAAAGTTAAGGACATACAGTCCTTAAGTTTTAAAATTGAAGCTATAAGTTAAGGACTTCCTGTCCTTAACTTTTAATCTTTAAAATCAAAGTTAAGGACAGGAGTCCTTAAGTTTTCAGCTTAGAAATATAAGTTAAGGACTTCCTTAACTTTTTAACCAGCAAATCAAACTTAAGGCCGTTGTCCTTAAGTTTGAACATATAACTCAAAGTTAAGGACATACAGTCCTTAAGTTTTAAACTTAATGCTATAAGTTAAGGACTTCCTGTCCTTAACTTTTAACCTTTTAAATGAAAGTTAAGGACAGAAGTCCTTACGTTTTCAAATTTGAAGTATAAGTTAAGGACTTCCTGTCTATAACTTTTTAACTAGCAAGTCAAACTTAAGGACCATTGTCCTTAAGTTTTGAACTTAAAACTCAAAGTTAAGAACATACAGACAGACTGTCCTTAAGTTTTGAAATTGCAAGTCGAACTTACGGACTCATGTACTTAACTTTTAATCTTTGAACTCAAAAGAAACAAAAACAAGGTAAGAAGAAAGAAATTTTCAAAATTCAGACATCTGCTCAAATAAGAATAATCTAAATGAATCCAATTTATGGCAAAAACTAAAAAGAGTCGATAAACATAATTGGATATATCTAATCTTCTCTATGCTTTCTTGAAAATGGATGGAGAGCAAGAGAATATATACAAGATGTTCTATTATGACCAATTCTTCTGCAACGACCACATTTGAATGTTATTTTTGATGGCTCGGTAGCAGGAATATGCCTTTTCTTTTGCTTTCTACCTGGTGGCACTTTGAAATCTGGAGGTTTAACAATTTGTGACTTAACACTCTCTGGTACAATCCAAGAATCAGTATGTCCTACAGGATGTATTTGTCTTTCATATGTTTTTAGCCAAGATTCCTTTAAGTACCAGTGCGAACAAAAGTTGGACTTCTTGATGTTTCTCTTCTCGATAGCTGCAATTGCATGTATGCATGGTAATTCATCAAATTGAAACTGAAAACAATCACATGTTCTTTTGTTTAAGTCCACCAAGAAAGTTATTCCTTCTTCTTCAACTCTAGAACGCCATGAATCAACAGGGAAGACCTTCAATGTTGAAAAATTATAAGTGAGTACATTATGTTAAATATTGTTAAAATCATAATATAAACATAGAACATAATACTTACATTCAAAGTAAATGCTAAATCTATTCTTTTCTTCAATTCCTCCTCTACCCAACAAGAAACATCATAAAATGTTCCTTCTGCTTTATTTCTTCTTTCATAAAACCAACGTTGTAGCTTCACTTGAATGAAATCCATCATTCTTAGTATAGGCAGCTCCCTTGCTTCTAATAGGACAGAATTCATCGACTCAACTATGTTTGTTGTGAGCATGTCATATCTTCGTCGTGGACTACAAGAACGTGCCCATCTTTCCGGTGGTTCTTCCATCAAGTAGTCATAAGTCTTCTTATCTACATTTGCTATATCTGACATGTATAGGTCAAATTCTTTGCGCTTGTATACTCTTGCAGCACTTTGGAATAGTTTTATGACCTCACTTTTCACCTTCCTTCGCTTTAGGTTCTGCTCCAAATGATAGATGCAAATCCCATGATGGCTTTCAGGATATACCTTTGCAATGCCATTTGCAATAGCTTGATGCCTGTCTGATAAAAAAATTAAATTCTCACGGCTCCCAATTGCATTGCGAAGCTGACTAAAGTACCACTCATAGGAATTATTATTTTCAGATTCTGCTATTCCAAAGGCTAATGGGAAAATTTGGTTATTTGCATCCTTTGAAACTGAAATCATTAAAACACCACGATATTTTGACTTCAAAAAAGTTGCATCAACAACAATCACTGGTCTACAATGATTCCAACCAGCTATTGATGATCCATATGCATAAAACATATAAACAAACCTGAAAATATAATATAAAACAAGGTTAAAATACCTGAAATTTAGGACAGTCAGTCCTTAACTTTCATTTCCAAGTTATAAAGTTAAGGACATGATGTCCTTAACTTTGATTTCAAAGTTCAAAACTTAAGGACTGGCAGTCCTTAACTTTCATTTCCAAGTTATAAAGTTAAGGACATGCTGTCCTTAACTTTGATTTCAAAGTTCAAAACTTAAGGACTGGCAGTCCTTAACTTTGAATTACAAGTTCAAAACTTAAGGACAGCCAGTCCTCAACTTCTGGTTACAACTCAAAAGTTAACAAGGTTAAAGATAGCATGTCCTAAATTGTTTACCTGTTATTGTCGTCTATCTTTATGTTAGTATAAGTTCCCGGGTTTTTACTTGTCATCATATACAAGTATGAAGACAATAATTCATAATTCTCTTCGGGACTTCCTCTTATTAAAGCGGAAGCATGTTGAATAGCACGCCACGCCTTGTGATATCCAATGTCTAGTCCATGCAATTTTTGCATCTCTGCCATGACAAAAGCTGGTGTAACTTCAAATCTTGGGTCCCGAAGATTGTCGATAATGTAACCACTAATCAACTTTGAAGTAGCATGCCTTTGATCTGCTTTCATAGTGTTAACAGAGCAGTCATGCTTTTTCTCAATCTTTACTATCTAGAACAGTGTTGAATCTTTAATTCTGAAAGCTCGCACACACCAACAACACCTATCATCATTGCATGTCAACGAATATCTTGTTGAGCTTGATCTAACAACCTTGAATTCAAAATGTCCTTTGATTGCTATATTGGAAAAACAGTTAATTATACTCTTCTTCTTGTCAAATACTGATCCAACTTTTATTTCATCCAACGAAGCATTTTCTCTTAATATCGTAGTTGGGGATTCTTTTTGTTTCAAATTTGATCTTCGTCTAGTTATTTGAGTACATGTTTTTTCAGCAACTTCTTCGATTACCGGTGCACTCTCTAAGACTTGAATACCCAAAGCTTGTTCGTTGTCAATCTCTATAATGCTTTGTCCTTCTACTTGAATAGAATCAAATGTTTGAAGCACCTCTTCATTTAATGGTTGAGCTTCAACCATATCTATTTCCATTATCTGTTGGCATTTGTCTTGATTGTCATGTTGAGTTTCTGTGTTGACATGTTCATTGCTTGTTGATGGAAAAACTCTTTCCGAAATATCAACTATGAAACGACAGCCCTTGAAGAGTGAATGTGTTTTTAGCAACTCTATACATGTGTGAAGATCAGAATCTTTGGATACAAGCATTCCTTTGCTTGTTCCAAGGTTGATATCAAACCATATCACTGCTTCAAACTTTTCTCTATCCAATTCAATTAGCTCAAAGATCTGTTTAATGAAATCTTCAAACCGAATTGACTCAGGTACTAGAAAAAGCTTTGTTTGATGATCAAGATATTTATAGTCTTCAGTCCATCTACCATTAAAAGCAACTATAATGCATATTGTGTCCATCCTGCAAGTCAAGAGAATGGGAAACTGAGGACATACGTTATAAAACACTCCTTGTATAATTAAGAAGAGGTGTACTGTAAGTGAAGACCAAGGTAAGGACTAAGTGTGCTTAACATTTTAACTTGGAATTAAAAGTTAAGGACTTCCAGTCCTTAACATTTGAACTTGGAATTAAAACTTAAGGACTGCCTGTCCTTAACTTTTGAACATGGAATTAAAAGTTAAGGACTGCCAGTCCTTAACTTTTGAACTTGGAATTAAAACTTAAGGACTGCCTGTCCTTAACTTTTGAGCCAGACATTAAAACTTAAGGACTGCCAGTCCTTAACATTTAAACCTGGATTTAAAAGTTAAGGACTGCCTGTCCTAAACTGTTTAACCTGTAAGTCAAAACTTAAGGACCGCCTGTCCTTAACATTTAAACTTGGAATTAAAAGTTAAGGACTGCCTGTCCTAAACTTTTTAACCTGCAAGTCAAAAATTAAGGACTTATGTCCTTAACTTTTCAATCTATAATTCTAACTTAAGCACTTCCTGTCCTTAACTTTTTCAAAACTTCAGGACTTAGTATACAGAAGAACAACAACAAAGTGAAGGACATTGTGTCATTAAGTTTTTCAATTCAATTTGCAAAATGAGGACAGTAGAATCAAAGTTAAGGACATTGTGTCCTTAATTTTGAATTCAATTTCCAAAATGAAGACACTATGTCCTTAATATTATGTGCTCAAGTTTTATAGAATTATCATAGGAGGCGATGTCCTTAAGTTTATCAATCCAGAAATTCAAAAAAAAAAAAAATCAAATTCTTATCTATTATATAATCAAATCAATACAAATCGGAAAAAGTATAACTATATCGAAGTAAAAATCGATAGAAACACATGAAAGTATAACTTACTGTTTATCTATGTCGATTTTTTGGATGAGAATTTTGAATTTTTCGTCCAGTCGCTGCTGCTGTTGCGATCGCCGGCTGCTGCTGCTGCTTTTGGTTTTCGTCGAGTGTGTTATAATAGCGTAGGTATAACTTATATCAGAAGGGTATTTTCGTCCAGTCAGGTATAAGTTTATTAAAGTAGTGGCTAAAGCCTAAATACATTGAAAACAATGGCTTTAAAATAAAAGC